CACATCAATGCAAAAGTCCGATTATAGTAGAAGCCCCCCAAAGCAGAAGTATCATTTCAAATAAATAAGACTGATGTAGCTGAACCACTGGAATTCAGAATGTAATTCAGTCACTTCATCACCTTTTGCTCAAAAACCCTGCATCCCTTAAAACACCCGTGCTAAATCCCCAATCTGGTTATGACATTCCCAGCACAGATGTGATAGTCTTAAGCCCAGTGTGTATGCATTTAGAGGAGTCAATTACTTTTTTTCTTTGCTTATTATTTTAAAATACAGCCTTTTTAAACCTGGCATTTCTTACGACTTTAGAGCAGCGAATGAACAGTGCCATCCACTGTTCTCTGCATAATTCACAACATTTTGCTAAGATAGTCTTAAATAAGATTTAACATAAATATTAATGTCACATTTGAAACAAAGCAATACAGATTGGTAAAAAGGTGTGAGTCAAAACGTATTTTTAAGGAATGAGGCTAAGTCCTAGAATGACAGCTCTAAAAGTAGATTACAACAAAGGAGATTTTTTAAAATACCTCCTCACCTGTGGATGAGCCATTCTAACTTAATTAGCTATATTGGTAATCATTTATCCTAAACCCAAATAATTCTCCAATCAAGTAGGCCATCTATTGCAACGTTGACTGTAAATTCTCTCCTCATCTTATAATAAGAATTACATTTCTCCTTCAGCATCGTCACCAACTCTCTAGAACATGACCCTGATGAATGGTACTGCTAAGAATAGGTGCCTTTAGAAATGTTTACTACAGAAGAATTAATAATATGGTGTGAATGAGACCCTGTTTTCATGGACTGAACATGGCCAATGGCTATATGTCTCTGAATCTTTGACAATTGAATCCAAACCTTATCTTTTAGATGTGTATTTTAGATGCTATTCCTATAAAAAAGATTCCAAACTCATCCCACCTATGGTGTTGCACATCTTGCTTTGCTAAACACAGATACGTGCACGACAATGCCACAGTTCAATAATGTAAATATACAAATGTGCTCAATGTTCACCGTAATAGAAATCCTAGAAATATTATACCCACTTCTTCCTGTGTTTTTCTATAACACAACCTCAGTGCTCAGCATTTTGCTAGACTGATCTCACAAGGCTTATCTTGCATCCTTTTAAAACAAAAGCAAAACAGCCATTGACCACAATGATGAATGAATTAAAACTTAACAGTTTGCCTCTCATTACTTCACTCTGTACTATTTTCTTATAGGGAATGTTCAGAATTTCAAGGAAAGACCACTTTCCAATTGAAAGTGGCTGTAATTCCTGACTTTTCTTATAGTGCAGACCACTCATTGACACAAATAATGGTAGAAACATTATTTAGAAAATTGTATAACTGCTGAGTCCCAGGTAATTCAAAGGATAATTACTTGTTCATGATCAATGACCACTAATTATATACTACACAACACAGAGCTATAAAACTGACAGATGATGAAAGCGTATAGTTGTAACACACTGTGCTGGGAACATGACTTTTATGAACCCAATGCATAGCACCCTAAGTTTTCTCAAAGACATTTACAGAAAGGAAAATGTATACAGTAGAATTGGTTTTACTGATCACGCTCATGCTCATTCATATTTCAGGATCAAAGATTATTTTCCAAAAGCCATTTCCTATTGATGCTGTTGTGTTTGCTCCTCACACACAATGATCAGCAGGACACTGGGTTGTAAGGGTCAGACTGGAACTGATTTCTTTGATTTTCCTATTATGTTTTCAAAGCTAGGAAAGAATTCCACATCTTTCTGAAAGTCACTGCCTGTAAGCAGAGAAAACTAGAGCTCCTGAGAGAGTAGATTAGACCCGATTATAACCTGACTGAAATGTTACTGCAATAAAATGCCTAATACAATTCCCTCTTCTTTGGACATAGATATTTTGACCCCGTGCTCCCCATGCTTGTAGCTCTTTTGACTCCCCACTTTGGGGATCCTGCTCGTATTGAAAATGAGATTTCATGTTGACAATATTAAGTTTCAATTCCTTGTTCTTTACAATAATAGTCTACTGAGGAAACACATAACATTAATTTAATTAATTTTGTATTACATTGTGTTTGGAAATACTAAATAATGTTCAATAATGTCTTGGATCTCCAGCACAGTTGTTCCTTTCTTGAAAAGGCTTGTCTCACATTTGAAATGCTGACATATTATCAAACTCTCAAGAGTTTCCAACATGGAATTGCTATGAAAATAAATAAGGAATTTACAAGCTGATCACATGAGGAATGGGGCATCTCTTCCACTGACTTTTTCTTTTCTATGTGCTTAAGACAGACCAAAATACTTAATGCCTCCAGCTATAGCTGTCATATTAAAAGACAGGAAGAAAGATATAGTAAGAAAAGAAATTACATTAAATCTGTTACAGCTCACACATCATCAACTTACTTCATAAATTGTTGATCTGACAAAGAATGACAACACAGCTGTAGGACTTTTCTTAGATGACTTCCATTAATAGTGCCAGTACACTTAGGATCATAGGACTGCAAAGACTTATGAAAATCTTCCCAATTTTCTATGATTTTATCTGAAAAGATGTTCTCCACCTACCAACGGAATGAATTAGTAATGCAAGAAAGAGAATAAAAGCATCCCTGAGATAAAACCACGATAGCATTACCACATGAAAAAATGTACTGAAATGACAAATCTAATGTTGGAAGACCAACACTTACTGACAATGAACTATGTTATCACTTACAGTATTACAAGCTAGAACAAGAAGAGCAGGCTTCTTTATTTGGTTTATTCCATTAAACTATTTGTGAATCATCTAATTTGAAACAAAGTTATGTTCAACTAAAATGATTGTAGTGTACTAATTTCAAAGCATGATGCAACATCAGGCCCAAAATTTACCCTTGAAAACATTTGTTCTGAAAACTGACTGTGAGAAAGTGTATACCTCTCTTCATAGATCTGCTTCTTTGACTGACGAGGCAAGTCTACTGATTGATAACAACACAGAGCTTTTGCTGTCTGTTTTTCCCCTCAGTCCTGTAAAACAAACAGTCTGCTAGGACTGAAGGAATTGCAAGTGGCACTCAGCTTACTCAGGATGTGATTTGAAGACAATGGGCTTGCAGAGGGGAAAATAATGACAAAATCTGGCTTACTGAACCTGCTTTAGGATCTGTCTGTAGCACTAGCTGTCAGAATGGAAGTGGTTTACATTTGTAAATCGAGTACATTAAAAACACAAGCTTCTGAGAAAAAACAAAAGCAGGATTACATTTTGACAAAAAATCTCAGTATAATTGCAGATCTGACCGAACACTGTACTACACAAAATTTCAGGTGAAAGGAAGGTGGTCAAGGCGCCCCTTGGATTGTCTGAACCTGCTGGGGATCTAGATTGGTTCCAGGTTCTGGTTCTGCCCATTGCTGCTTTTAAGATTCCTCTGACCAAACCATTTTCTAGAGGAATGATAAAAATGAAGAGTTTTCTTGAAAAAGTTGTCCTGTTTTATTTGTACAACCTGTAATATGCCTTTTTTACAGGATGAGCCATATTGACGGAACTGGCATCACTACTTAGGACACAAAAGAAAAGGATTCCCGGACACTCAGGCTTCCTTGCAGCTGCTTTTCAAGAGCGGGGTAGAAACACAGCCACAGAGCCCAGAACAGACCTACTCCTCTGGGCAAAATCACTCTCCAAGTGTGAAACCACAACCACCAGGGCCATGTGTGGCTACTGTGCCATCCCTGGTGGTACTTCATCCCAAGGTGACAATGTTCTGTGATGTTTGACATTTTCTTTACCTGCCTTCCCTCATGCTAGCATTTACTTCATTTGGGATGCTTATTTTAAATGATAAAAATGGCTAGTTATCTGTGTGCATCTCTAATTTGAGTCTAACCAGCTTAATTTGTAAATCCCACTTAGTGTGCACATCGGTTGTGCATGCAGGCGCTGTCAGCATTTGCATTTTCCCCAGCATGCTAAATTTACAGCTACTAAAGTTTGCCCCAGAATTTCAGCCAGACCATTATTTGACTTAAAACCAGCTGGAAGGGACTTGAGCTGCTGCATCAAATGTTGCTATTGTTGGAGCCATCAGAGTGGAAAGCAGCCTGTTTCAGCTCCTAACATCAAAGCATTTCAAAGCAATGCACACCATTCAGGGCTGTTCAATGGGACCTTCTTTTTGTGTGTCTAGTATCTCTCTTGACACTACTGCGCTCCTTTGATACCTCTCAAAAATACTGTCCAGACTACCTAAGACAAAGCTAAATATGGACTTAGCCAGTTGACATACTAATGTAAACCTAAAAGAGAATTGATATTGAAAATTTTAAACAGCTTCTTAATATTAGGAAGTAGATTTGCAAACTGCAGCTTAGGTTATTTCTTAGAGTAATTTGGTAAACAAAGAAGTATTGACTTATTTCTGTCAAAGGAAATGGACACACTGCACAGGAGTAATGACTGTAGGCTTCAGCATATAACCTCTCTGTACCTCCGGTGAACAGTTCTAAAGGAAAACATTATAAGACAAATGCAAATTCGGAAGGTGTCAAAGCTGTACCCAGGAAAATATGTAATGTCTGTGTAGTATATAGCAAATATTTTGAATCGATATATGTTATAAAGAATAATAGATAAAAGAAGAAACAACAAAATATCAGCAATGCAGATCTGACAACTGAAAACTAAGAAGTACTACTACTGTTCCTCTTCTGCTGTACACACATGCGTGAGCTAGTGTTTCTGCTGGGGTTTTCAAAAACCTCCAGTAACCATGAGATGGCTTTCCAATCAATGGTTCAGAAAAAAAGACTCTATAAGTCCTGATTATGATTATTCCATTGCTGGAATGAACGTGAACATACTAACTTAGATAAAAGCTGTATGCAGAGTGTAACATCTTCCCAAAACACAATCCAGCATTTTGCTACAGCCATTATAGAAGATGTTCTGATTAGAGATTTAAAAGTAAACACTTACTACTGATTCTTTTTCTTCAAACAACTCTAAAAATCCATAGTAGTCAAGGTATCCAGTCTGTTCTGGATCAATTATCTCAATTAACTCCTGGAAGTCTTTATCTTTTACTTGAAATACCAAGTTATGCAAAACATGACGAAGGTGATCTTTCTCGTGATCTTTCCATCTCATTTCTAAGACAAAAAAAAGAAAGCATGCACAAAAAAGAACAAACATTTACTAAAGCAGGGCTGATTCCAACATGTCATTCTACACTGCTATCTCATCCTGACCTACAACAGCTGAGAGCTCCCTAGCTGTTTCAATAGCCTGCATATACTCCAGTTCCCAGTGAACATACAACTGGAATATTCACTAGATGGAAGATTAAAACCATGGGTAATGAAACTACAATGACATTTCCGTTATCTTGGGATAGATTATTTTGCATGCTGGTAAACTGTGACATAAGTGAATGGATGTGTAACCTTGCTTTGCACAGATGAGCTCACATTCAGGTCAGTTTATCAGCTGTGTTTCATTCCTTACCTGGTCTGGAATCAATGTTCATAGCAAGTTGTGTCTGACTGAATAGTTGCTGGGTCTGAGTGAACTTGACTCAGTTGAGTCAAGTTGAGTCTAAGTTGCTGTCATCATGTACCCCAACCATTGCTTTACGTCCACACAAAAGTCCATCAAGTGATGTCTGTTATTAGATCCTAATATAGCTCTCAGCATATTCATAGATAGCACAGAAGCCTAAATTTATCAGTCCTCAGTCATCTGTGGCAGGAATTTCTTCATGATTATCTTCAGAACAACAACCAAAAACTCAACTAAACATTTTAAGTTTGAGCACAGCTTTTTTTAGAGCTGCAGTTTTCAGATGTTGTCCATGGACAGTCCATAAGGCCAGAGTAAATGCAAACACCTGGGTCATTACAGAGATTTCAGTTGAAGACGCAATTATAAGTACATGGTGAGCCTTGAGAAATTCTGACTGTTGACAATGGTGTGTTAAACTGAAACGTTTGAGACCTACTGTCGCTGGACCTCCTTTTCTTTCCCCATGCTCCCTTGCATCTTTTTATGCACCCTTTAAATCAGCTATGCCACTAGGCTGGGTCTGTTGGCATTCTTGACCTGGCTACTGAGGGGGAATCAGCTGTCAGGGAGAATCTTTATCCAGGGCCTGATGCCCAGTCACATAGTCATGCCAATGGGTACTCATTTGGAATGTAACGTAATAGGCAATGGATGTATTCATGCAACAGAGGCAGGATACTGTTATTTTGCTACACTTAAGGCATAATTTTTCTCCCAGTTCCCATGGCAAGTAATATCCATAATTTATGTAGGAGATTTTTAAATATGGGTTTGTACCAACTCTTTTCTATGACTGTCTGTTGCATTTTATAGCTTTAAATTTGTTCCTGAACTTTTACTTCTTTTAAAAAATAGTTTCTTTATTTTCTCTAAATAAACCTGAGGAAAGATAATGGAGGGAGGGAGAAGAATAAAGAGAGGAATAAAGGCTTTGGAACAATAATAGAAAAATTAGGAGTAAATAGTTCCTTCAGTGATTCAGTTTTCCTGGCTAAGCACTAGACAAATATCTTTCTGTTCATAAAATTCACCCTAAGAAAATTCTGTTTCCCTTTAGTCCCCCACAGAGATCCAGGGTGGCAGTAATAATATAGAGGATGAACAATTATTTACTTCATCAGTTGGTCTGGGAAATACTTTAAAGTTTTGCAATCAAAAGATAATGGTCTTGTGAAACTACTATCTGGTATTTGAATTTTCTTTAGAGACTGTTGTCACGGCATTAAATCATATGGAAGAAAAACCTGATAATATACCTACCTCCCCCAGTAAATAAGTTAGGGAATCTGGTACTGAAGCTACAAATATAGCTTGTACTTCACAAGAAACAATTGTGCAGAATGACTAGGTCCTACCCATGAAGATGAAATATCTGTTATGATAAAAATAAATCACATTTTGTTCAAACCTTAGATAACGTGGGAAGTTAAGATATACTACATCAGGATTTATTAAGCAGATCGCATTTGCTTATTTGGCCACCTTGCAAGTTCAATTTTATTTATTCAAAGGGATTTAATTTTATTGCCCAGGTCATTATCTAAATCAGTCCAACATCAGTGATGTGACTGGGCATGTACTGGTCTATTCCAACAAAAAGTCATGATGTTATGTATAAATATAAACCATTCTTACATGTATTTCTTTCACTGTGGGAGCCTCCAGATGCTGGGGATTAAATAGTTCTTTCTTCAGCCTTTCTTTCCACCATCTCCAATACCTCTGCCTTTGTTAACAATTTCATTCAGTAATGTTCCAAGTCAGTAAATGAATTAAAATCATGTAGTAAAGTGCCTTACTGAATCATGCCCTGAATGCTGTAGGCGTTATTATTATCTACTGCAATGTATGAAACGGATTTCTTTTCCTATAAATTGCTAGGTGAATTCTTTTTTTTTTGTGGGCATATATATATGTATATAGATGAAATATTGCAGAACTAAAAAGAACAATTTTTATGTAATTATGTTAGAAAGGAATTGTGATATATCATCTATATAAAACCATCTAATAAAAAATGCCGATAGTACTTCTGAAGATATGCCCAGTGCTCCTGTTGCTTGTGTCAACCAGACTGAGAGCTTTAATTTTTTCAGTCTATTATTGCTCATTCAATTCAGAAATACAGAGTCTACAATTTAAGAAGTGCAATATGTAGCAAATCAAAGTAATAAAAAAAAATCCAGCTTGTCCACTAAAGAGATGATCACGCAATCCAGTGCATGGGACATCCATACCATGACATTCCGTCAAAACGGACAGAAAGACATTTTAGCGTAGTTCTGTACATCGTGAGGGCCACAGAACTGATAAGGACAGACAGGTCTTATCAAAAGCTCATATTCCAGAACTAAATATGAAAAGGCAATCCAAAACCTAGAAAAAGTCAGATCTTGGAACTTTTGAAACTGGAGTGAACTATGCAACAGTAGGCTCAACATTGCCAGTGTCAGACATAAGTTAGTCTGTCAGATGACAAACGTTTACAAATACATGACAGCACTCTCTGTTTACATTATATAATATGAACTTATAATAATTACTACACAGTTCTGATTCTCATAAACTTTATCTATCACACTGATTCTCTCCCATCATCGAAAGAGATTCACCTCATCTGTAATGCCTCCTGTGTGCGCAGGGACCATAGGAATGTATATTCATTGCTAAGCACTGTATCTGGATGTACACACTCAGGACACCTCCCTTCTTTTCCAAAATGCTGTATCTTGCATTAAGGTGTAGCCTTATCCTGCACGTATTAATGCTTGTCTTCAATTTAAATGTCACAGAATCACAGAATCACAGAATCACTAAGGTTGGAAAGGACCTTCAAGATCATCCAGTCCAACCATTAACCCAGCGCCACCATGTTCCCTAGACCATGTCCTGAAGCGCCACATCCACATGTTTTTTGAACACTTCCAGAGATGGCCACTCCACCACCTCCCTGGGCAGCCTGTTCCAATGCCTGACCACCCTCTCAGTGAAGAAATTTTTCCTAATATCCAATCTAAACCTCCCCTGGCACAACTTGAGGCCATTTCCTCTCGTCCTATTCCTGGTTACTTGGGAGAAAAGACCAACACCCTCGTCGCCACAACCCCCTTTCAGGTAGTTGTAGAGAGCGATAAGGTCTCCCCTCAGCCTCCTCTTCTCCAGACTGAACAACCCCAGTTCCCTCAGCCGCTCCTCATAAGACTTGTGCTCCAGACCCCTCACCAGCTTCGTTGCCCTTCTCTGGACATGCTCCAGCACCTCAGCATCCTTCTTGTGGTGAGGGGCCCAAAACTGAAACTGTCAATCACAACCAATTGGTCTCCTTCAGCATGTAATGTTAAATAGGTATTCATGTTCTGTAGTACTGAGATATAACAGTAAAACCACTATGTTCCTTAAACATTTTATAACACTGGGAACACTCTAACGTTTACCTGATGCTGTGTTTCAGCACAGAAAACAGTCTAGTTGCTTTTATAAATCTGATACATTTAAGAAGTTGAGTTAGGAAACTTGCCAATACTACTTGAATTCCTTGCCCTGAGGTGAACAAGTTCTTTTTAAAGGAGACTACAATAAAATAAAATAAAAAATAAATAAAGCAGGTGAAGGATTACAACTTGATACTGCAATTCTAAATGTCTAAATTTACAGAAGATGCAACAACATGGCTCTGAAAGTCATAAATAAATATGATGCCACATCTTCAAATGACACAAATGCCAATGCTTTAGGTGACTGGGACACCACGTGATCAAAACCAAGAACTATCAAACAATGCACTCCATATAATGGAATGTATAAAAATAACATATACAGTAATAATTTTTTTTAATTTTAAAAAATCAACTAATGTATACTGAAAGTTGCCACGCAAATTATTTTTAATGCCTTTTTGTTTCTGTGTTTCAGAATACATGGCAAACATTTCTGAAAACATTCTAGGGAGACTAGAGAAGTTATTTTATTATTAATTCCTTGATGTTGAAACACTTGTATAACTATTTTTGGTAGGATCTGAGTTTTAAAGTAAATCACAAGTTATTGCAAGACTCACAAAAGAACATCAAAGAGTGCTTCACTCGTCCTCTTATAAAACATCAATCTGATTCAACATTTTAAAGTCAAATTTGTAGTATAGTTACAGGGAACATTATATTTCTGGCTTGCACGTTGGAAAGCACTGCTACGAGGTCGGGAATTTGTTTTCAGAAAATAATTATTAATAGGTAGGGACCAGTAGCATTTTAGACTCCAGCACGTCAAGAACAATTCAGAAAGAAGTCAGCTGGAAGAAAAAGGGAGAAGGCAGTTGCTTGTGGGCTGGACAGTGATGTGATGAAGAATCAGAAGGATGCTGCACGAACCTATTAAAAACTTTTAGATAAGAACATGAATGTATTTAAGTCCTGGAACAGAAGACATTCAAGTTCAAATCTGTTTCTATCTCCTGAAAAAAAAGAGCAGGAAAATTACTTTTGTTAACTCTAAGACAGGAGCAAATGTCTTTACTTGGTTTACATGGGGTTTTCACAACAACTGAAAACCCACTCACACAGTTACATAAATATTTAGGAACGTTACAAATTTATACATGTTTAGACATTAATATTGGGTTCACTGGTGAGGCCACTTCCTTGTCGAACTATTGCATACAGCAGCTGAGCAGAATAGCATTTACTAAATGTTACTATGCACACCTGGCTGTGGAAAGGAAATAGGACATCCAAGCACACTTTTCTCATGTTGATCACGTGAGACTGAACATTTTTCATAGCATTCCTTCTGCATTACATGTCAAAGCCGGCAGGTATCGCATTTCATTTTACCGATAAGGAAATCAGCTTTTCTGGGAGCTACTACGCTCGATGATAGACTGTGGTAGGCAACGAGAGCCGGCGATCCACGTGGTCCCAGAGAGCCCTGAGCGGGAGGAAGGGCGGGGAGAGGGAACGCAGAGCCAAGTTTGGAGATGAACCCTGCGTAATCAGGATATAATGCCCAACACCAGTGGTGCCCGTCAACATCGGGATGTCAACGGCTGCAAATTAACACATCTGCATCCCTCTCTTGGAAGTAGCAACTAACTGGGCTGTCCAGGACTCCGGCAGAGGCAAAACAGCCTGTGCTGCTGTCCTGGGGCGGTCTGCTGCCCGAGTCACGAGCGCACCTTCCTTACGCCCAGCGGCGCGCACGTTTTGACCAGGAAATGAGAACACTGTGGATGCAAATGGCAAGTGTCAATCAAGTGTGACAGGTGACAGAACCCTTCACGTGGAATGGTAGATACTCATTCTCAAGGAGGTCTGTTTCTAATGAGGTCTTGCAGGGGACTGATGTTTAGCCCTGTGCTGTACATCCTTTTTAGATGTGTGTCTGTGTGTGTGTGTGTATAAGCAAAGTAAACACAGCGCGCGCTCTCTCTCTGTATATGTATTTATATACATACACATGTGTACAAATAACCTGAAAAAACCCTGAAAACTTTAAAATATCAGATGACCATAGATAACTGAAAGACAAATGGAATGGTAAAATGATGAAAAGAACAAACTGCTGACACAGCATGGTGGGGAAGGATAACCACAAGAAAAGAATAAGCTTTCTAATAAAGTCCTACACTAAGAAATGGAGAAAATATGGCAGAACAGAAGGAAAATCTTAATTATAAGAAGCAGTTACTCTTAAAGATTTGCAGGTCATAATATATAAACAAAGCATAAATAAATTGCCAGTATGATGTTAGGCACAAGGGACTCGGGCAATCCTTGCATGTAGAAACAGGGGAACACTTAGCAGTATCTGGAAAGTTATATTTATTTTTGAGGTATGAGTGCAACTTCTATGAAAGCACCAATTCTCATTTCTGTCATAACATTTCATGAAATATACAGAAAAACTAGCAGGGGTTCAAAGGCAGCCACAGGGATGATTAAAGAACTGGCCAACATGACTTCCAGTGAAATTGTAGGAGGTCGATAATTTTTGTTTATCAGAGAGGTTGTTACAGATTATTTAGTCCCCGGTTGCACATATCTATGTTAAAGAAATTTGAAAAACAGACTCCCTGTGCTGCTGGAACAGAAAACAAAGACTGGCAACCACCAGATTACTTTGAAGCAGATACAAGACACAAACGTTTAGCAGTAAGAATAATTAACCAAGGCCACACCTAAAAATAATTGCTCTTACTTCATCAAGCGTAAGGAATACGTGCTTTAAAGAGGGATAAGCATCTTGGATGTATCTGCGCAGCTTCTGAAGAACAGTGTTGCTGGGGAAAACTGCATCTCCTCTAGGTGGATTTACTCTGCAAGAGGAAAAAAGACAGTCTTTGCAATGCTTTCATGTTTCACCCTCTTCTGCACACTATATTCTTCTCAGAGCAGGAAGAATAGATCACCTCGTTAAGACTCAGGGTTTGACAGGATTCAAAATAAGAATGTGCACTTAGAGAATTGAAAAACTATTTTTTATGTGAATTTAATCAAGGGTGATCATCGAGTGGATACTCTTCTCGTTTTCAACAAATATGTATACCACAGGTTACTCATATTAAAAAGGAACTTCCTACTTACTTATGTTTTTTTCTCATAGGAATTGTCTGCCTGTTTTCAAAGGTGCTCCTAGCATCCCAGAATTTTTCTAAAAATTTTTGCCAAGCAATTTTACCTGTGGCTTTCAGTCCAAATCTGATTTAAAAAAAAAAGAAAACCGTTTTAAAAGATTTTTTTATAAAAACACTCTATGTTCCAAGAAGAATTTTGAATTAGAACATCACATCATCATTATAATATCAATGTGTGCAACATTCATAATTAGAGTAAGCTTGCATAGCTTTTCTTTGTTACTAAATATGTAAACTGAGCCAACTTGTTTTCTCAGTTCCAAATGTCTAGCTGTGGAAGAACTAGACCCCAAGCGAGAATTCATCTAACCAAATGCACATGCCTGCACCTGAGCGAGTCACTCGAAGTTCCCTTTATAGTCATCGGGGAGAAACAAGCACTTTCAGGACAGGCTTCAGCTCATCCTAAAGTAGACATCTAAAACTGGTTAGATGAATCCTGCCCGTTGTTTCTCTCCGGTGACTATAAAATAGAGTCCAGGAGGAGCAGTTCAGACATAGACATTCACATTACAGATGTCTAGAATGACATAATATTTAATGCATCCCTTCTCATTATTTACACATAACAGTAGAAAAAATAACAAAGGGGAATAGTATGTTGGTTTTTTTAAGTGTTATAGTGTTCACTGTATCCAAATTTGAAAACTTCGAAAGTGCTGGAAGTGCTAAACTATGGTAAAAATCCTGGGAAGTTACCTAGTATCGTATTTCATGAATAACTACTTTAAAATCGATAAGGACCTGATCCCATGACCCCCCAAACCATTGGCATATCCCCTATTCAGTTTCAACGGTACTGCAGAAAGCTCCAATGAGCACGGGTAAACGCCCTCCGACTTCAGATGGTGCTTTGTAGGCAATTACGTCCCTCACATATTACCAGAAACCTGCTGACTTGCTACTCTAGTCATCTCAGAAAAGCTTTTAAAACTCCTAATGCTCCTTAACAATGGTGGCAGATGGTGTTTAGAGCATTTGCTAATCCGGGATGCATAGGACAAAGCTAAAAAATTACCAAATGCAGTCAGAGGTATGCAAGACTTCCTGGATCCTTCACAAAAAAACTCCACTTTTTTTACTACCCGGCAGTTTCTCAGTCTCCGCCAACAAAGCTGAAACCCGAAGTTACAAGAATCACAGCATTCAGGCTTTGGCCGACTGCAACCAGACAGCGTGGGGTATTTAATGGGAGGGGAGGTTTTTCACAGTGGTTCCACCTACGAGTAGCACGCACCCACACACCACGGCTCCGTGGCCCAAGGGTTGAGCATCTTCCACTGCACAAGCAGCACAATTGCACCAGAGTCCAGAAGAAGGGCTGGGAAGGACCAAGCACCGAAGACTCAAGGTAAATGAAGACAGAGGCTGTGCTGGCATTCAGATTTCACCAGGGGAGCCATTTCAGCCTCTGCAGGGGCAGGCTTTGCCAACAATACTATTGAGGCATGGGTTATTAAAAAAAAGCTGTGGGAAGGATAGATATTTCATATCTGATTATTGTCTTGGATAAATGAATATGAAACAAACAGTATGAAATAACAGATGATCTTTAAAATAAGGCCAAGATAACAACTGTTTATTTTGAGCCCCCAACTGAGATGCCTTCACACTCAAATGTCTATGGTCTCCTAAATCACTCAAATCGCACTGCAGAGAGCAATTCTGCACTGAAAATGAGCAACCAGCCAAAGCTGCATCAATAAGCGCAACAGACCTCTTCACTTCCACCTCCTTGCTCGGAAGCCCTACAAGCGCCTCTCAGTCTTTAGCAGTGACAATTGCCAAAATCCTGGGAGCTGAAGGGAACTTAGGAAGAAATACTAATGCAGATGTGTGAGGGTCTAGCATTATTGGCTATTATTGTGGTGCCATTGATCAGTCCACAAGGTGCAGTGGTTTTCCCCTGTTCCGCAGATGGGAAATGGATCGTGGAGCTCTTCCAGTTCTGCCTGTGGCTGGCCAGCACAGCACTTTTCTTTCGCAGTTTTGTCATGGAAAGGGATGAATCAAGCCCTCACGGGGGTGGGAAGGAAGAACTCCGCAGCATTAAGTTTCATGGATGAAATTGAAGAAAGCCCTATTTAGACAAATCTAAGTTAGCGGGAATAAAAACTGAGGAAGGATTTTGTTTTTTCTTTTTTTTTAATTTAAAAACAAACCCTCTTTATAGTTATAATACTGGCTCTCAGATTTCAAGCTATGCTAGAAGGGTAATAAGTACAGCGTGTAGATAACCGTAGGTGGAATAACTGAGGCTTAGGAAGATCGTTCCGCTGTAGGGCCAGAAAAAATACACACATTTTGTGTGTGGTAATCCAGCATTTTATCTACTATAGTAGGCCAGCTGACTTACTGAAGTAATAAAAATAAATTCTGCATGGCTTTTTGGAAGTATGCTTATGGTTATGTCCAAGTACAAAAGACTATACTTCCAAAAGAATTGACTTATTAGAGCTGTAACAACATGGATACCTGGTAAAAGCATGTGATAAATTATCTCACAGTGTCCCTTTACAAAATACTACCCATTGAGAAATTTTTAATCATCAGTGCCTCAGCTTCTGATGCTTTTATACAAATATTAAATTAATTAAGTATGAGGGTTACACAAAAAGTTTAAAGCTACCTCTGCTGCTGCAAATTGTCCAGGTGTTTTTAACTGATGTGACGTTCACCCAAGTCCTGACCAACTGAGCACAATGATTTACCTTATAACATAAATAAAAGTTGCCAATTAGAAATCCTGGCAGCCACCAGAAAAGAAAGTCTTAGAAGTTAGGCCCTCAGCTGGCAAAGCCTTTATATTGGTTATGTATGATTTGCTCCCAGACATCAACAAGAATACCCTTTATTCACACCCCTCAACCTGTGAAAGGACACAATCCGCAGCGAAGCTCCAAAACATAACCAAAATATTTCTCACATGGTAATGCTGAAATACTGTGAAATTAATTCCCTCAGTTTATGCAACTCCTTGAATAACCTCAAGTTCACAATGTTTTATTTCTGAGTGAAAGAATTTTCAAGAGTAGAAGTGATGGAATTCAGGGTATTTGGGACTCCAACGAGTGATGTCCTTTGAACGAAGTACACCTCAATGGTCTGCCTCTGTTGTATTTGATCTTGCTGCAGTGAGGACATACACTGAGACATAAATGCATGGGTAATCTGGTCCTAAACTAGTCAAGGATGAAATCCCAGCTGAAGTCTAAGGCAAAACTGCATCAACTTCAATGGGCCCTGAATTTTGTATCAGGAGCCCATGAGATGTAACTACCTCAAACAACCATAAAATGCTGTCATGTATTATTTCTTATAAACAGCTCCCTGGAACATCTCATGTCATGTTATTTAAACAGAATCTTAAAAACCTTGAAATCATGCCCCTTGCCCATCAATTACTATTACATTTATTATCAGCTACAGTGAAGTTACTTCATTATTAGAATTAGAGAACTCTGAGGAACTTTTGTTGTTGTTCTGTTCACCTGGTGGATCTTTTGAATTACATTATCTGAGAAATATTACCTAAGAAATATGGCATACATAGGCTTGGACATTTCTGTTTACAGCATCATTAAAATGTCACTGTATTTTTCAAATGCTAGAGAAAATTCCAGTGGAAGAATACATGCAGAAATCTTTCCATTATGCAACTGTTCTTAAGAGCAAGATTTACTTTAAGATTTAAACTAGCAAGTGACATGAATTAACAAAAGAAAACAACTATAATAGTGATTTTTTGACAAAATAATAGTTGATCATTGTTATATAACACCGTGAATGACTATAAGCAAATCATATTTATCTGCTGAATGCACAAAGCAATATGGTTACTGCAGATGACACTCTCATACAGCACCTGCTGCTGTAAAGCTTATATCTGCGCTGAGCTCTTTACAGCTAACTAGCGCATGTAAAGAAAAAAACAACTCCACTGATTATTTACATGGATGATTCTATTCTTCCAACAATTTAAACAGATAAACTATAAATTGTGGAATCATTAGAACAGTAAGGCATGATCTGGTTACCCCACACGGTATGATTTGGGTGCCTTGTCCTGTTGTAAGCTTAAGCAACATTTTGGAGTAAAAATGTTGAATAAGAGTTAAGTTGTTCTTCCTTTCTCTTGGACTGGCCGTATGCCCTTGGCGCTGCTGCCAACAAGTGTAAAGTATATTCTGGCAGTTTTCTTCTCATAATTTTTGGTTTCTGAGTACAAAAGTTTATTCATAAGGGATCCTGGTCTAGATTTAACCAAAAGCCACAAAAGCATCAATACCTATGATATTTTGTCTTTAAAAAGGAAATAGTGGTTTAGGAAGCTAGTCAGCATAAGCTGAAGTGATCATGTCCAGGAAACCTTATTTTGGAAAAAGTCCTGTGGCCTAAACTCTGCTGAGAACCTTGAAGCTGGGCTGGAAAACTTTTTCTACCCATTTATCTTCAGTACACTATACTGCCTACAAGATTATTTGAGTTTTGATCATAATATGACAAAGACGCCTGGTTACAGTAAAATAGTACGTTGACTTGAATCCAGTAGTTGGCATGATTTCTCAGACTTCATAGCAGTTTCAATAAAAATATTTACAATGTCAAAATCTAAGTTCAAAAGATTTTTGCCTCATTTTAATTTAAATTCAAGTTTCCTGGTATGAAATTGCTTTACTATGCAGCACAGAAGTGTCCTTTCAGTTATGTTTTTCAGTGACTCACAGTGAGCAGTGCAGAATGAAAGCTTTCAGCATTAGTTAATTCATTCACTTTAGTTCCATTTCTTCCTTTCTTTTCCTTGACACACCAGCATATTTTAAAAGGAGAGGCTTGTAGAATCACACTGTCACCATGCAAATATGGTGCTAACATTCATGAAAGTGCTCTTCCAGCAAATTCACACCATCCCACATCACTAGTCATTTGAATTCAAGACAGTAATGCTCCATTTAGGAAATTAAATACAAATTTGTGAGTAAATAGAAGAAAGCAAGCAGTAACTTAAAGCTTCTACTCCATTAAACTTATATACCTTGCTGCAAAAATCTTGGTTTTATACCCAGCTATATCATCTTTTACATGCTGTGCCTTACATACTGCAACACAGGCACAAGTAAGATGAATTAATGATGGTAGTCACAAAATGCAATAATAAAGTTATAAGGCAGCAGCGCTAAAAAATGTCCCCTAAGAAAATAATAAGATTCTTACCTATTCATTAGCTCTTGAAAAGTTTCATTTGGCAAAGGAAATATAAAGCCATTTATGACTGACTTCAAGTAATCCAAAGACACAAATTCACTCCAAATGACATCAATTGCTCTGAAGGCTTTTTCGATGTCCTCTGAACATAGGCTGAACATAGGCTGAACATAGCTGTAATTAATACAATTTATAGTGTTTTGCTCAGAAAAATCAAGTTTGCAAAGCTTTTAAAACAATAACGCATTTTTTACAAGACCTTTTCAAATGTTCTTCTTTGTGAACTGATCAAGTAGGTTACCCTGTCATGCTCTGACCGTCAGATGTTTAATTAATAAGCTCACTACAAAACAGTATTCCCAATCACACACTCTCAAATGACAAGTCAGACAAGTTTCTCAAATAATAACTCTGCCTCAAAATTCAGAGCTAAAAATACTTGGTGGATCAGCCTGCTTGATAACACCTGTCTTAATGTAACTTTAAGACCACCCATTGCACAACCTAGGATCAAAGTTCCCTTTATTAAAACGGGTTGTTAGCACAACGAATACTGGAAAGTGTTAGAAGACATGGAATAGTTAACGTAGCTGTTCTATAAACACATCACACATTTCTCTGGTTATTTCTCTGGTTATTTTTTTTTAATTCAGGGGCTGTTGCAAAAGAGCTGTGTGGATGTGTTTTTGCTTATGGGACTTGTAAAATGCCTGAAAGTTGACTTACTGCAGATTTTGATAAGGCTCATGAAACAATAGGAAGACGGGTTTGTTTTTCTGACATGTTAGCTCACACTGGCTTGTTGAATACTGCAAGCATCCCTGAGGCTTTTCTCTCCCCACCATTTTTTGACAAGTACCCCGTCTGCTTCTAAGCTGATTAGTGTTCATCCAAAACTGCTGAAATCACAAGTGTAAAGATGATGTATGGAGAGACTTTAGAAATCCCCCAAAAAACATTAAAGACTGGGAGGGCTTGTAAGGTGAGATGTACTGTGCTTCCAATCCAGGCCTTGACCTCCATATCAAAGATATACATGATGAAAAAGGGTCAAGATGTTGCATGTCCCTGTAGCCTTGTTTGTCCCTCCTCTCCTGTCTTCTCAAGGCTGTGAAAGCACAGTTACAGGTCTGTGTAATTGAGTTTGTAGCAGAATATGCAGTCTTGATGAACAGTACCAGCTTCTCTTTATGAGAAAATATGAGCTTTTCTTAGAGTCAGGATTTTCATGACATGAAGGCACAAGAGTGAGTGTTGGAAATTTTTGTTTCTTTTCACTTTCCCATAAAGCAGGTGGAACACAGTTACGTTCCACCATCACACTCCCCAACCCTCTTCAGTTAAGATCACATCTAAGGGCGCGTGGAGAGGTCATTTGCTATGTCTGTTCCAGCTACACCCTCTATTCTAAGCTTGCCACCAGACACGGCATGGCAGTTCGCACGGAAGGGCACGCAGGAAGGGCACAGTCGCCCTACCAGCTCCAGAGGTGAGTTCAACTGGTGATCATCACCCTCTCAGAAGGAGCTTAGCTGTGGCAGAAACCCATGTCTGCCAGAATGGATGTGGCAACCCAGAGAGCTCCCGTGAAAGCGTGCAGCCACCCAGGTCTCAGGCTGCAGAGAGTGCCGGAGCCTCTCGCTGGCAGCGGATGGCAGCAGTGAGAATGCTGTGTGAGGTGTGACCGGGTGGACGATCTGCTCAGCCTCCTGGCAGATCTACAAGAGGAAGTAGAAATGTTACGGAGCATCAGAGAGTCTGAGAAAGAGAGAGACTGGTGGAACCATGCTTTGGCCTCCCTGCAACAGAAGCAGGAACAGCCACCTGAAAAAAAACAAGATCAAGGGGATCCTGTACCCTCCCCCTGCCAGGCTGAAGGCCATAGCTTAAAGGAAAGGAGCGAATGGAGGCAAGTCCATGCTCAAGGTGGCAGCAAACCCCCTCCTTGCCCACCTCGCCTTCTCAGGTGCCTCTATATAACAGGTATGAGGCTTTGGATGTGGAAGGTGAGTCCATGACAGTCCATCTACAACAGAGATGTTACCAGGTCAGAAAGGCCAACTCCTGTATCACAACCACCTCCATGAGAAAGAAAAGATGGGTTATAGTTATCGGCGACTCCCTTCTGAGGGTAACAACAGGTCCAATATGCTGGACAGACCCTCCTCTTAGGGAAGTCCGGTGCCTCCCTGGGGCCCAAGTTAAGGACATCACTAGGAGTTGCTGGAGCGTGTCCAAAGAAGGGTAATGAAGCTGGGGAGGGGTCTGGAGCACAAGTGTTATGAGAAACGGCTGAGGGAACTGGGGTTGTTCAGTCTGGAGAAGAGGAGGCTGAGGGAAGACCTTATCGCTCTCTACAACTACCTGAAAGGGGTTTGTGGCGAGGTGGGTGTTGGCTTCTTCTCCCAAGTAACTAGCGATAGGATGAGAAGAAATGGCCTTAAGTTGTGCCGGGAGATGTTTAGACTAGATATTAGGAAAAATTTCTTTACTGAGTGGTCAAATGTTGGGATCACTCTGCAAGGGCTCAACCTTAAGGAGAAGGAGCTGTGGCATTGAGAAGCTGGTAAACAGCTGGACATCTGCACGGCTCGGCCTTGAGGAGAAGGAGCTGTGGTAAACAACTAAGAGGAAGCAAAGGAGCCCATGGACACCTGCAGGCAGCGAATCCTGACTGTGTGAGAGGCGCATGGACAGCGCCTGATATTTTGTATATAGCCAATTGCAATAATGTGTGTAACAAGCTGTAACCAATCATGAGTGTGTGCGTGGTGACTAAACAAAAATTATGATATATATTGGAGTCAGACAAGACAATAAACAGCTTTGGAATATAACTCTCATAGAGTTGTGAAGTCCATCTTTCTCCCGCAGTCAAACATTTGCACAGGCTGCCCAGGGAGGTGGTGGAGTCACCACCACTGGAAGTGTTCAAAAAACGTGTAGACGTGGCACTTCAGGACATGGTTTAGTGGGCGTGGTGCTATTGGGTTGATGGTTGGACTTGATGATCTTAAAGGTCTTTTCCATCCTTAATGATTCTGTGATTCTATGAAACCGCAATGCGTAGCCCAAGGGTGATGAACAGACTTCAGGGCCTTGGGACGGTTGGTGAGGGAATCCAGAGCACAGGTTATTTTTTCCTCTCTCCTTCCACTTGCAGGCAGGGACACTGGAAGAAACAGACAGGTCCAGTCTATTACTATATGGGTCTGTGGCTGGTGTCGCTGCCACAGATTTGGGTTTTTTGATAATGGGTTGGCCTACACAGCACCAGACTTGCTGGCATCAGATGGGATTAACCTTTCTCAAAAGGGAAGAAGGTCTTTGCTCATGAGGTAGAGGAGCTTATTGATAGGGCTTTAAACTAGACTTGAAGGGGGAGGGGGACAATATCAGGCTTACCCATGACAAGCTGCGGGATGACATGCCAAGGCTAGTGGGATGGAGTACTAGCAAGGCCCCTCAGCCTGTTGCTACACTGCAGCACACATGAAGTCTTATGGAAATGAGCCAGGGGCTCCTGAGGTAATAGGAGCCAACAGGGAAGCACCAACGAAATGCCTCACAAGAATTAAGGGGAGTTCCTCTAAGAAGGTGACACGG